CTCATTTTTGTAGCTGAATAGAATATTCTGATAGAACAGAAAAGCCAAGAAAATAGTGTGCACCTTTAGGAAGTGATTGCAAAACATTCCTATGGTTTTAATCATCTTGTAATTGGTTTATAAAACATCCCAGGCCTGTATTTTTTAAAATATTAACTTTTAAATTTGAGATGATTATACATCCACATGTTATCATAAGAAATAACAGAGAGATTCCTTGTCCAGTTTGCCTCAGTGGTAACATTTTGCAAGACTACATCTAGTTTGCCTCAGTGGTAACATTTTGCAAGACTATATAACTTCTGCCATATTTATGAATAAAATTCTACTAATAGACTCCATCTGGAAAACTCTTGCAAGTCAGATAATACAATCAAAACAAGTGCAGAGGCCTAGAGATAGTTCAAATCAGTGGAGCTGAAATGAAACTGGGAACAATGGTACTGCAATAGGCTAATCAACTACAAATCTAGGTCTTTATGAATTTTAAAAGTAACTTTCAAAACATTAATTATATGACATGTATATAGTGTATATTGACATACTTTCAAATTATAAAATATTAGAAATATGGGGACTTCACACTTAGGCTACTTGGTAAACAGCAAGTGGTAAAGAGTTTAGACTATGCAGTCAGAGTGGGGAATTCCCCACTGGGACCTATTCCCTTTCCTCCAACCCCTCCACTAATCTGTAGCCATGGCACCTTCAGCAAATTGACTTTCCAAGTTTATTTCATCTTCTTTAATGTGAGGATAATAATGAAACCTATCTCATAGGATTCTTATGAGAATAACGTATGAAAATGCATGCAATAATTTCTGATACACGCCAGGAGGTCATCTAATTTTGTCATTCATTTAAAAGCTATTTAATGAGGTGTTTCTAAACATCAGCACTACTGACTTTTGAGATCAGATAATTCCTCCCTGGGGGCTGGGTCTAGTCTTATGCATTGTGGGATAGTTAGCAGACTCTCTAGCCAGTACTTACTAGAAGTAGCCAATAGTGCCCACTCCTCAGTAGTGACAAATACTGTCTCCAGATATTGTAGAATGTCTCCAAAGGAGAGGGAAAAACAATAACAATAGTAATAACAAACCATAAACCCCAAATGAAACCATCATTTTAAAGGAACCAACTTAGGACAAACAAATGAAGTTCTATTTTCCACAGTAGTGGCTATTTTTTTAGTAAAATAACAAGTGGTGCATAGTGAAAATGCAGAAAGACCCAAAAAGGGTTTGAAATCACATAAACACACACACAAAAAAAAACAGTCTATAAAGTTTCTAAAATATATTTGGGGATTCTGTATACTCCTGAGTTTGGAGACTCTGTTCTTACCGACTTTCAAAGTCTCACTATGGCAGCCCACCAAAAGGATGAAAAACCAAGGTATGGATAATCGGCCCCACCCTAGTAGGATACTTGAGATGCTTTCCTGTTCTAGAAATCCAATTATAAAGTTTTCTGCAACAAGAATATATTTCATGTTATCCCTAGTATGGCACTGGGTTCTGGAGAGTGTGTCTGAACCTTCTTGCATGTCAGAGTCACCAGGGGAGCTGCCAACAGAGATTCTCAGCCCTCAGATCTCCACTTTAGTTTTATTTTTATTCTCCACTTTAGAAAGTAAAATTAAAGTTCATTTCTAATTATTAATTTATAAAGTATTTAACAGTTATTATTAATAATTTCACTTTTAACAAAGTAAAAATTAAAGTACATTCCCAATTAATTGGAAACTACTGGTCAAGTAGGAAGTTTCTTGAAATACGTGAGAGGTTGGTCAAGTTTTCTTTGACTCTGCCCTACTTCAAAGTCTGTATTAGGATGGGACCTACAGATTATACAGAACTCTATTGGAATAATTATAGACTGCAAATGGATATACTATATTAGTAGTATCGTAACTAAATGAAAAATTCAATCTGAAAATCAAAATTTTAGCCAAAAGGAATTAGAAACTGCTATAAAACTATTGCTTCTAGTAATAGGTCTCAAGTCATCGCTGTTGACAGTTTTTGCTAAACCTTCATACCATCAATTATCCTTGGTGAGACAGAATAAGAGTTATGCTTAGTCATGTGGAATGTCAAACAGTCCTTCTGCATACTTTGAAAATAGCAGGCAGTTAATATGACAATCCTCATTCCATTTTCCACTCAATGACACCAGAATAGATGCTTACTAATGCCATGGAAGAAACATTTATTTTAGCTATAAGAGGCTGTTGATCCAGTTGGAAGAATTTTTCAGCTTATTATGTAGGTTTCTGTCTCAGTCAGTTTAGGTTGCTATAACAAACTACCATAGACTGGTAGCTTATACATAGGAGAAATTTACTTTATACATTTCTGGAGGCTGGAAGTCTGAGGTCAGTATGCCAGCATGGTCAAGTTCTGCTGAGGATCCTCTCTCAGACTGCAGATGGCCGACTTCTTATTGTATTCTCACATGTCAGAAAGAGAGCAAACAAGCTTTCTGGACTCTTTTCATGATGGCAGTGATCCCATTTATGAAGGCTCCATTCTTATGGCCTAATTACAACCCCAAGGCCCCATATTTAAGTACCATCACACTGGGGATTAGATTTCAACATATGAATTTTGTGGGGACACACAGATTCAGCCTAGGAGTTTCTATCTCACAGTATGTGGTTTGCAACCTCTTGACTAGTGGATCCCAATACTCAGGAGTGTTTATGAAATATGAAGAATCCAGGACTTCTACCTCTGACTGTTAATGAAGCCTGAGAATCTCCACAATCACCACAAAGCTCTTCCAACATAATGGGTGAGAAGGTTCTAGAACATTATTGAAAACACAAGGTCCCTATGGGGTGCCATGAAGAGAACTATTTTTAAATTACTATAATATATTACAGACTTAGGATCATTTGTGTTAGTATTATATGAACACCCTCTTGGCAGCGACTTACCCATCAAAATCCCCACAGTTTCAAGGTATTAAAAAAGAATCACTTAAAATAATCTGTTTAGAGACCCCCAAGTTAGAAATAGCGGGTCTGAGCATACATTTCTTCCTGCTGAAACACACATGGATTAGAAAATGTATGGACTTCCTATAAGAATGCACACATTTTAGAAACCAGCGAGACCAAACCATCCCATATTTTCAATCAAGAAAGTATCTTACAAATGCCTGTCACTTTGACAATGTCTCTGCCAAATGACATATGCCTTAGATCTCTGAAAACAACAAGTTTTCTAGATGTTTCTAGAGTCTAGTGCTCTAAGATTCTCTTAAAAGGGCTCTAAGATAACTCAAATTTATCTACATTTTGGAAAATCCAGCATCCAAATTACAAGCCTCCTCTGTAAGAAGCCTTTTGCCCATTTCTGACATTTGATACTTAACATGAACTGTATGGCTATCTCCTTCATGCTAGCAACCTCACCACAAACCGGTATTTATTTTCATTTTAGAAAGAGTGTTAATAAGCTTTTAACATCATGTCCAGCCAGAATGAGAAAATGCAAAAGTATTATTGATATTTAGAAATAAAAGTCATGATTTAAATTATATATATACATATGTATGTATATATATATACATACATATATATATATCTCCAAGTCATGATTTAAATTTTATATACTTTGCTAGATACTACTATAGCTAATCCAAAATATCAGATAATTCTGAACTTAATGAGGATCTGGCTTGAGACTTCTTTATGTATTTTGTCTGCTATTTGTTTGGAGAAGGTAGAATATAAGGTTGTGGGAGAGAAAAAGGACATTGTCAAATACCCTAACTTAAACCCCTGATCAGGGCCTCACCCAATTTTTTCATTTCATCCAAACATAGTGGCCAACAGAGCAATAGCATTCACAATACAACAAGGACAGCCAACTTCCCAACAATGTGTATCCATAGTAATTGACCATTTGCAGTGATGTCATACTAGGAGGCCTTCCTTAGTGTCCTTACTATAACTAGTATTATTTCAAAAGTCACCTTAAAGATTTAATGAAACATACATAAAGTGCTTAAATAGTTCTTAGATCATAAAAAAAGGTTTAAATAAAAATAATAACTACTCTTGTTGTTCCTATTAGCCACTATTATTAGTAATATATACATCTCAACACTGGAGATGACTGTTTGGCCTGCTTAGACCACCTGGGACTGTTTTAAACAGTAGTGTCTTAAACGTACTATTGCTAATGGTATTGTAATAGATTACCTTTGTAGATCTCTTCTTTCAACTCTTGGAGATTAAGGATGTCTTATAAACAAGCTTACACTAAGTCTATTTCTACTATCTATCCAGAAAGCAGTCTGCAAGACTCTGACCCATTTGTTTTAGAAAACACAAGCTAGGCTCTTATTTCTACTCATATAAATTAGTGCTTCTTTCTGCTCTAAATCTTTCTGGGAGCATTAATTTGTTAACCAATATACCACCCTCAGGATTAAAACTACAGTAACAGAAATAAACTAACATACTTAATTTTGAGATTTTTTGACACATAAATTAATGCAAAACATATTGAGACAGAACAAGAATAAAGGATCCAAATGAGTGAATAGTGGAGCACTTATCTCCACTTCTCCTGTCTTGATGGATCATCTTATAAGCATTGAACAAGAAAAAAGGAAGTAGTGTTGACACTCCCTCAAATATATCAGGAGTTCAAAGACAGACAGCACAGAGCATCTAGGGTCAGTGATATAAAATAATACACCACTCTTTTGTCATAAGAGACCACATAAGAAAACTCAGATGAGAAGGTATATGGGTGATTTCACCTGACACCCATTTAAAAGTCTGACTTTTGGTCTGAGCCAGAGAGATCTATGTTACAGCAGATCTTAATTCCTCCTGTTTCCTCTCAGCGCCTTCTGGGCAACCCTTGGGCTCTCATGTATCACCATTTCTTTCAGGGGCCCAGGTGAAAGATGAAGCAGAAAGAGGATGAACTATCTTGAGAGTATGATCTGGGACATCCCCAAACCCTGCCTCTTACCTGCAGAATCTGCCTCATCGGCAGGCACACTTTGGGTTGTCACGGGGGCTGGCTCCTTGATTCCATGCACCTGGGGAGCTTCTTCCTGGTTTGTCAAAAATGCAGAACACAGATCAGATTCCAGAGCTTGAAGCTTCAGCAAGGAATTCTGCCAGCAAAAGCAGAACATCAGGCCAGCTAAGTAGATGCCTAACACACAACGATGGGTCTGCAGCTCCTGCAGGCACCTTTCTCCAGTGCCTGGCAGGAGGGTATCCTGGAAGAGCTGCTTCAGAAACAGAGCTGGTTGTGCCTCAGTCAGATGCGCATTATTCCACATGCGGCCTCAGTTCCTGCCTCATTTAAATCCTAATGTATATGGATTATCAGTGACCCATGGGACTGGCGATTGATTTCGTCAGCAAACGACGCTGCATCTGGAGAACCAATCTCAGAAGGTGTCTGCTTCCTGAGCACTGAGCCTTTACGCTTTGCAAGTGTTTCATTCATTGTGCTGACATCAGGAGTCGATGACATTAGGCCCCTCCCAGGCTACCATTCATAAAAGCCATCGTCCCTCCAATGCAAAGACTGCAGCAAACCGCAGTGCACAAAGAGTTACTGCTGCAGAGGCTCCCTGGCATCTGGGAGGGGCTTCAGGCTCCCTCATCCACACTGTGGCTGTGAGTGCATCTTTTAAAGTTACTTCTCTCACATGGGATGGCTGCAGCTGTCTTGTATCAAGAACAGGGTGAGGGAGACAATCTTGGTCCCTCGGTTTAACTTAATCACAGAGGGAGAAGCAATTTCTCTTTCTTAGCCCCCCCAGTACAATCTCCTGCCCACTCCTTTCATTTCTCATTTTAAATTTCTCCCATGTTCTTACTAAGAACAAGTCATACAGACTGACGCACATATCCTGCCGTGATGCAGATGCCCAGAAAACTAATTGCCCTAATGAGGTGAAAGTGAGTCATGCCTGAGGCTCTGGCTGGGTGCTGCTCTTTGACAATGGGCAAGTCCTGCAGGTCTCAGGAGCTCTTCCGCCCACCTGGTTCCAGTTCCAGTTCCAGCAAGGGCAGCCATAGAGAGCAAAAAAAAAAAAAATGATCCTTTTCCCTCTATAACCTTCCAATATAACCACGCTCCTACTCACATACTACCCTCTACACAGCCAAACACCTTCCTCCACGGCTCTACCCATGCCTCATAGACATCCTTATCCCTATCCCTCACTCATATATCCTACTTCACACACACGTACACCCCCTTCATACCCAAACTTACACACCCACAACCTCTACTCCACAAACACCCTAACCCACAAATGACCCCCTTCTTCTGCCTCATACACATCCTCATCCCTACTCATCATACCCTACCCCATAAACACCCTCATACTCAACCGTCACTCTCACATCATAGTCTACACACATAAAACCCCTCCCCACATTCATATCTACCATACGCTCACATACCAACCCCACACTCTTCACCCTGTGACAAACATATACCCCATTTTTGATTGCCCCACATACCTACCTCTCCCTCATAATATCCAGTACCTCACACCAACACCTATTACTTCATATCTTAACCCAGAAACATACACCCCCATATCCCACACATATTCTCATTCTTGGCCTCATGTAAACATACACCCCAACTCTTCCTCACACCACAACTACTCTATTCAATACCAACTCCCACATAGTCAGCCTTAACCCTTCTGTTGACATGAGTAGCTATCAGTCTATACCAGTGTAAAAGCTGTTCACCAGGCAAATGTCTTCAACATTAGCTCCTCTGCCACTTGGGAAGCAGTGAGCACCTTCTCTGCCTGCCGGATACGGGGCAGGATCTGAGAAAGTTTTCTACTGCTCAGAGGCTGAGAGAGCACAGCTCAGATGAAGCACCTGCCTAAGACCAGACATTTTATGACTCCCTCCTCCTTCCTGGGAGTTTTCCCAGCAGCTGAGTGCAGGAGCAGGAGCTCTTGAGTGTTAATAGGAGGTATAGAATGAGCAAGGGCAGGGAATTTCTGGAAGGATTTAGTAGTTAGTAACCAACCAGATGGCAGGCAAAAAGAATATCTGATGAATTTCCTACTGGAGGGCCTTGGAATTAGAGTGGCCTCTCAAAAACAGCAAAACTGCTCTGAAAATTTAGAAATAATGCCATGGGAATGTAAAATGGTACCGTCACTATGGAAAAAGTCTGGTGGGCCCTGAAAATATTACAACAAGAATTACCATATAATTCAGCAATTCCATCACTGGGTATATACCAAAAACAATTGAAAGCAGGGACTTGGACAGTAATTTGTATACCTATGTTCAAAGCATTTTAACAGCCAATAGGAATATTATGGACTAAACTGTGTCTCTCCAAAATTTATAAACTGAAGCTCTAACTCTAATAAGATTGTATTTGAAGACAGGACCTTTAAAGAGGTAATTACATTTAAACCCAATCCAAGATAACTAGTGTCCTCACAAGAAGAGGAAAAGACACCAGGGGTGCTCCCACAGAGAGAAGGCCACATGAGGACCCTGTCAGATAGCAAGTATCTATAAGTTAAGGACAGATGTCTTAGGAGAAACCAACATTGCTAACACTCTGATCTTGAAATTCCAGCCTTCAGCACTGTGAAAAAATAAGTCTCTGTTGTATAAGTCATCTCATTTATAATATTTTATTAAGGCAGCCCTCAAAAACTAATACAAGAAGGAAGCAACTCAAAATGTTCATGGAAAGGTAAACCGATAAACAAAATGTGACATATACTTGCAATGGAACATCATTCAGTATTAAAAAGAAAATTCTGACACATAGATAAACTAGGAGGACATTATGTTAAGCAAAATAAGCCAATCACAAAAGGATGAATATTGTATAACTCCACTTATGTAAGGTACTTTCAATAGTGAATTTCATGAGACAGAAAGTAGAATAGTGGTTGCCCAGGGCTGGCAGTGAAGGAGTTGGGGAGTTATTTTTTAATGGGCACAGAGCTTCAGTTGTATGCAATGAAGAGAGATATGAGGATGAATGGTGAAGATGGTTGCCATCAATATAAATGTACTTAACCCTACTAAAAACGTACACTTAAAAGTGGTTAAAATGTCAAGTTTTATATTATATGTATTTCATAGCATTAAAAAAATGAAAGATACAAGGGGATAGACCTTTTACCTATAATTCTTTAAAAAAAAAAGTTGTGGTACCAGCAGCCTGGCTCAAACTCATATGTGCTCTTTATATTCCTGCAAAGTAAAAGAGGGCACAGATTTCAGGTTTCTAAAGAACTAGAAGGGACATCAGCCCTGTTGTGTACTGTGGCTGACTTTGGGCAAGCATCCTGGCTATTCCAAGCCCCAATTTTTCATCTGTAAAAAGAGGCAAAGATAATAGTCATGATAGCATTTGCTATGAGGGCTGCTCAAGAACACAATGAGGGAAGGCAGGCACTTTGCAGAGCTACCAGCATGAGGCCCATCCTCCAGCACTGGACTTCGTGGTGAGTATGAACTTCTCCAAACGTCAATGGGAAAACCCTGTTCATATAGTAAGGACATACTCCACAGTGACTCTGAAGCCTCCACCTGTTGCTCCACCTCTTAGGTCTCACTTCTGTACCTGCACAACAAGGACCTCAGGGTAGATGACTTGTAAGTCTCCTTCCAATTTGAAGGGAGAGAAAAAGCAATGTACTGAGGATTGAGATCCAGAATCTGGAACCAATGGGTACTTGGACTATGGAATGGAACAAAGAGTTCATGCAACATGAACATTAAAAAAAAAACTCATTGCATACAAGTACATTATACTTCATATTCAGAAGCTTCTGAATCCCCTTAGAGAGAGAGGTGTAATTCTGTGACCCCATAATGTTTAGAAGTATGAACCAGTTGCTCTCTTCCATCTCCCTCTGCCATTTTCTCCTTCACTTATACTCATCTGAATAGGATTCTGAGTGCCACAGATCTATTTGCATGGCTAATTTGCTTAAAGGAATGGGAAGAGAAAAGAACTGGCAAATGGAACAGGAAAGAGAAGATGAAGGTCTCAAGAGTCAAGAAGATCTTCAAGTAGAAGATTGCTATAAAGGACAAGAAGACAGAATGGAAGAAACTCTGCAGATCATCAGCCCTCACATCTCAGCCCTGTACTGTCCCATTACCTGATGACAACCAGTCTTTTGGCATTACAGGATACTCTTATGTCATCCTGAACAGAAGGTGGGAACTGGGACACCCTATATGGGTAAGGTCCACAACAGGGTACCTTTCTCGATGACCAGGTAACCCAAGGACAGGGGAGGGCAGACTTACTTATGAAGAGTCTATAGCAACTTTGTGTGCATGTCTTTCCTATGGACAACAGGAGACTTCTAGCCTGTAGTATCAGGACTGAGCCCAATAGAGTCACACCAAGAAGGTTTATTGGCAGCTCTCACCACACGGGCAGGGGTCATGTCCCTCTGGCAGACATGGTGCTACTACGCAGTGCTCATGCTTAGGCAGCTTTCAAAGCACAAAGAGCCTTACTAGGCTCTAGAGTATAAAACGAACATCAGCCCCTTCCTTATGGTGCCTCTAGTCCAGTGGGAAAATAAGTGAGCAAATGAGTAACAGTGACATTTATCATTTTTATAGGGCTATCCAGGAAAGAAATGGTGAGTCCATAAAGAGTGTCAAAACTGCCATTTCACTATTCTGACCTGCCTTACTAGTGACCTTTTAATACAAGAATGTGCTTTGCCTTCTATAGAAGCATGATGAAGTACCCTACCTCACTTGTGTTCCAAGTGCTACCTCAGTCCATCCCTTCTCGCCTGGGACTTCTATTCCCTGTGAGACTAACTGCCCCAGCCAATCATTCAGATCCAGCCTGCTAATGCTCTTCCAGGTTTATATCCAAAGTCTCCATGGATGGATACCTAGAATCTTTAGAAAAAATGAGTAAGGGCTCATGGATTCAATAAAGAATGATGACTGTTCTCTGCCTCTTAACTGTCCCATCTGGGTAAAAAAAAAAAAAAAAAATGAGAGAGAAGTCCTTGAAACCTCTACGTGTGGTTTTATAAAAGCTAATTTTTCTCTT